TCATAATAATCTCTTACAACCAATGCATCAAATTATAACTGTAAAACTTGTTATGATTAAATTAAACTTGTTATGATGAAACCATTAAAATTGTTTTCCATAATGAGATTGAAAACAAATCAATTACTGTTTTATTCAGGGGCAGATCCCAAGAAGAATTTGGTGGGGAGGGGGATTTTATACCCATATTAAAATGGATTTTAGAATAAACTACAAAACAGTTTTGAATATTTTCTTCATAATCTTACAGATTCAATAAAAAAATTAATGAAAAAATACTTTCATTTGTTGTACAATTTACATCTAACTTCTTTGATTTCTTTCTTTTTAAAACACATTAATTAGTTAATATTTTAATTGTTTCAGCAAATGTTGAAAAAAAAAAAATAATATCAATGTTATGTAACATTGAATGTGTGTAATTATGTAACTCTCTACCATTGACTCCCTCTCCCCCATGTAACACTGCCTTGAACCCCTTCCCCTCATCTTCAGTATTACATAATTTACGAGCACTTCCTAATGAGATTGTCACAAGTTGTTTGCCTTTCAGCAAGGAGGTTTGCGTTCAATTCCTGATATCTGTGGAATTTGTTCCAACAAAACATGCCTGCTTCACAGAGGCTAGTGAAGATTCTCTGTGAAGAATCCTAAACCCTCATTCCTTCCCAATTCTGGCTGCTGGGTAGTGACCACATAGTGATGCCTCCATTAGTCCACATTAGATCTAATTCTATTAATGAAATAAAATGTTTTCCATATACCCATTTTAATTAACTTAAAGTAAAAAATACAGAACAAACTGCACTTAAAAAAAAAAGACTAATCTGTTTTATGCATGGATTCTATTAACTTCACAAAAAATGTCAAGTTGTTTGTCAAAGAATTTTTCTCTCTTTCTAGCTGCTCAGAACTGGAAATTTCCTGAAAGTGTGCTCACTTCATAATTTCATTAGTTTGTTTCCTTCTGCACTTAAAAAGACAGTAAAAACCTCTGGGAAATCCCTTTCTGGTTTTCTAGGATCACTTGCCTCCTTTTGGCTAGAGTCAAAACACCCTTAGCCTTTTATTTTTTCCTAACTCATTATTTTCCATCCTCACAAAATAAAACTCACAAGCAAACTAGATATCAGTTGCTGTTCTGTGAGAAGGACTGTCCCACAAAGAAGTTCCTGTATCAATGACCTTCAAATCGGACTTGTCCATTTGGCATAATCCGCAGGTCATTGTCAAGTTCTCACAGAATGGAAGCTAAGGTCAGCAAACTTTGCGAGAATGCTACATATTAGGCAAAATAAAAATATTGCTATTTCTAGACGATACTTATATACAATCATCTTTATTACCTGAAAAAGAATTTAATTTCCCTTCCAGTTCAGCGACTCTAAAACTCACTGTTCTAAGTAATCTGACACTGTGTCCTAGCAGAAGAAGATACTGTACCAACAATGCACCTGCCCACTGGACTTTTAACACATGCCTTATGGAAAAATCAATAGGTTCCATGAAAGAACCATTGTTATGGAGGAGGCCATTCAACCAGGCCTCAGTGATTAATACACTGAACAATAAGCTTTTCTTCACTAGCATTTTGCTTCACAATAAATTGCTTTTCTTAATGCTGTCACTTAGCTCCTTTCCAGCACTAAAATGAACACTTTCACGGATTCTTCAATCAGTGTTGTACATTTTTATAATAGTGATATACATGATTATTGATAAAGGTTCAGAAATAAAAATGCCAGAGATGACTTTGACACTTCTCCCAAACACCTAGAAACTTTACAATTTGACAAGTAATATTAAAATGCCACTGATCCGATTCTTGGATGAACCCACAGATGTATAAAGAGAGAGTATAATGAAGAAATAGAATGAAGTGAAAATGATTTGCAAAGCTGTTTACAAATGTCAAGTATAATTTATCCGTGTATTAATAGAATGACAAATTATAACGTAATGAAAGATGCCCCTCTGAAGAGTTATACTTTAGTTTTATGAACAGTATGTACATAGAAGTTGGTCAACAAGGCCTGAGAACTCAAGCTTCTAGAAGGTACTCATGTTTCCCCTTCTTAATACATAATACCAAACTAATAAATAAGTGTCCGATGTAATAAGTGTATAATAAATAAGTGTTCTTATGTAATTACATAGTTTTTTAATATGTGCAGTTTTCAAAATTGTGATCTTGGTGAATCCTAACACAATATACAAATTTTTCTTTACATACTTTGTATTATAATACATTTTGTTCATAGTTTTCATATAACGCAAACCGTCTTCGTCTTCATCATCATCATCAACTGACCAGAAATTAGGTTTTACAGCCTGTTTCTATTGGTTTATTACAGTATTCTAAGTAGATTATTATTCTTCCAAGTGTTCCTGCTGTAGCCACCTCTTAAATGGTCTATCTCTGATCCCTATTGGTTTGTTCTTCCAGATTCATTTTGGAAATCTGTTGTTGTCCATTCTCAGTAAATGATATTTCAATCTCCTTTGAAAGTGTTCTATCGCTACTACTAAACATTTAGTTTTCAATTTCTTTCTGATGTCTTTATTTCTCAGACTTTCTTCTAGTGATTTCCATGAGGTGTCTCATGTGTGCTGCCTGTAGTTTTTGTTTCTTTCTCTTTCATTACTCATGTTTCCTGAGCCTTATATGATTTTACGTTTAGCAGGTGGAGTTTGTTTTGTTTCCAGGTCCATGTTTCTGACAAAGTGTCTCTTAATTGTTACACATATTCTATTGTAGTTATTAAGTTTGTTTTCTATGTCTTCCTGAGTTTGGTTGTATGCACTTATGATATTTCAAGATATGATCATTTATTTACTTGTTCCACTAATTTTCCATTTATTACTATTTTGGCTCTCCTTTGTTCCTTGCCTTTTATTCACATAACTTTTGTTTTCTGAAGTGCTATCTTCATGGAATGTTTTGGGGCCACTTTTGTCAATTTAAAACTGCTCTTTGTAAATTATCTAAAAACCATTGTGATAGTTCAGTCATCAGCATGCAAGATTGAATCTATCTTGTCTTTTGTGATCCATATTCCTCGTCTCTTTCCTTCTCCAGATTCTTACAAAGTGGTTAAGATGTATGTTAAAGAGGTTGGAAGATAATCCACATCGTCGCTTTAAGGCACTGTTGGTTATTATAGCTGCTGACTTTTTCTCCCAGTCTTAACAGTATTTTAATTTTTAGTTCTTGTAGACTTTGTATTTCATTGAGCAACTGATTTGGTATTTTCTCCTCTTCTAGTATTTCCAGTTTCTATCTACTCACTTTGGCATAATCCTTTTCGTAATCAATAAATATTATAAAAATTGGTAGATACATTTCCCTTCTTTTGTCTAACTTCAATGATGCTTTATTTTAAGTGTTGAGACCCAGGTCATCAGACCTTCCAGACTCGGACCATTTGCTCTTCAGTCCAACCACACTAATTTCTCTATGCTCCTTTCACCAAACTTTATTATTCTACCAAATTTCTTGAAATTTAATTTGCAAAAAGTATGTAATGAATTTTTAAACAAAGTTTCTATAGTATAAGAAATTGGCAACTCCTTACCTGCCCATATTCAGAATTGTGTGCAGACAATGCAAGATGCCTCATATGAAAACTTGGTCAAATGCATGTTATTTGGGAGTGTTAACCTCAGTCTGCACTGTATATGTTGATAAGTGAGAGTGAGCTATGAGAATGTTATCTTGAGGTGTGGAAAGTATCAGTGATGTTGTGTTTCTTTATGTTTAATCCCAATTTAAGAGTTGATTGTTACATATGTGTAGCACTACAAAGGCAATGCTACCATGATAGTTTGCAGATATGTATGACGACTTTTTGAATTCCCAGATATATGTAACGAATATCATTGCTCTCATAGCTAAAAATATTTTTAAATTAAACAAGTAGGATAAGCAATATTTATTTTTAAATTCATTTTTAATAAATACATTATAAATGTAATTTCAAATTGTGTAAATTTATTTTGTTTGTTGATATTGTATAAATTAGAAACTATTTTGATATTCCATACAATATCCCTTTTTCTATATTTGTTACTTATTCTTATAATTTTCATTAGATATTTTGCCGTTTCTTACTACACATTTTTCTCGACTTGACTAATAAAATATTCTTAACTGAATATTTATTAATTACTAGACAGAATTTACTATCTGCAAATGAACTTTTTTCAAAGGACTTGTCCTTATACGAGTTAAAAAAAGAAAACTATTATTATTCCATAATAATGATAATGATGATGATGATAATAATAATAATAGTAATAATAATAATAATAATAATAATAATAATAATAATAATAGTAGTAGTAGTAGTAGTAGTAGTAGTAGTAGAAGTAATGAGAGGACAACAATGCAAGACGTATCCAAAATCAATACCTGCTAATTTTGTTCTTTTTTGTTTTTAACGATATTCACAAATGACGCACAACTTAATTTCTTATTCCTATAAATTTGCGCTTAATACAATAAAGAAGTACATTTTAATTATAGTGATTAGTTCCCTCTTAGGAAACTGCACACACATTTCATTCACAAATATTTGAGAGAGAAAATGCATTCAAAAACCCCACTCCCCAATTAGATAAGTAGCTACAAACATTTTAACATCACAGTGAGCATAAGGATTTTAGATCCGATCTTTAACAGGCGACTTCAATGTAACTATTTTATTTAGTTCACCAAAGCCCTTAACACGTTTTCTGTAAATAATGATTGAAATTGTATGTACATTAGATTACCTTCATTGGTGGGGTAAAATCAAATGTTTTTCAATAAAAAATTTAGTAAACAAAAATTAAAAACAGAAAGACTGGATGGCTTCAAATTTCTCAACTTATAAGTTGGCTTCAAAGAAGTGTCTACATGAAGAATTATTGATGTCAGTCGGGTCAAATTCTTTGATTAGTTGAAGGTTTGAAGGTTTTTGTGACTCAACTAGGCAAGCATGGAAAAAAATGTACTACTTACATTTGATATTACTTTCATCATAATTTTTATTATTTTTGAATAATTAAAATGTTTGGTAATATCTATTTTCACAACTTTACTCCAACAGACTAGTTCCCTCTTTTCCAAGCACTAGTGATCTGCAGATCACATGATGCAAAACATAGCACTAAATGACTAAGAGTTCACAATAGAAGTACAATGTTCAAAATGTGTAACATAATAGTTTTTAGTGTGATCTCAAACTCTTGTTTAAGAAATGGTGATTGAGATAAATAAAAATTTCACATACTAAAACAATATACATTTTGTGAGAAAAGGCCTCATAACACCTCTTAACATTTAATGGAACACTTATATGCTACACTTGTCTTATCAAAAAATGTTAAGACTAACCAACTATATTCATAATAAATAAACTATATTGATTGAGGCAGTAAATAACACTTGTTTGAAAGGCCCTGTTTTCAATCTCATTTTTTACAACAAATACAGATTCAAAGACCATTTATTAAGAAACAGTATAAAATGCTCAAATGATAACATTTTGAAAAACTATTTTCCAAAGCAATTAAAGAATACACAACCACTTCTTCACAATTGTCTTGTTCTCACATTCTTCTTTTTACACAAAATCTACAATGTGGAAGCAAGTATAAATGCACTACAACAGTAGGCCATCTATATTACTATATCTACCCAAACTATTTCATAGCAGATATTCAAAAACTGTTGCAAAAGTGTTGCCAATGCATTTTCTTTTAATTCCAAGAGGCACATTTGGACCATTACATTGTTTTATTGTCTCTGCACTTACTGTGATATGTTACTGGCTCAGATGTACACAAAACTCTACCCCAAAGAATTTAAGCGCACCAGTAATTTAGTAATTTAAATTGTAGCATTGATACTCCGGACGGGCTCTTGGACAGAATGCAGTGCAATATCAAACATTATCACAACCACAACTGATCACGTTTGTAACAGTACATTAAAAAAATTAAGCTGATGAAGTGAACCAAGTACACATTCCTTAATGACAACAATAAACAATGCAAAGTTCATATTTCACATATGACAAATTTATAAAAAAATAGAACTAGGAATAATCTAACAGCACTTTTGAGCTTATAAAAATAAGTAGAGGAGAAGGAGAGACTAGAATACTTAGTCAAAGATACAAAAACAGCATTCAGTTTATACAGCCAATTATGTTTCATATTTCTAAAAGAGATTGTGTCGTCAGTCATTCTCAAAAAGTTAACAGCTGTGGTCAGAAAGGTACCTGTAAATTTTCATCTTTATTTGTGCACAAGCATTTGAAAAATGAAATATACAGTACAAGAATGTAACACCTTGCCAGCTACGTCTCTTGGAAATTAAACTGCTTAAATTGTACATTACACAATGAAAGATCTTTGGATTAATGCTTTCAAGGATAAGTTGAAATTTATCCTGAGAATACTCATTATTCAAATGCTTTTCAAAGGTCAAACCAGTCACAAGCTCCCACTTTAGGGTGGAACATAATTAAAACAATTCAGAAATGTTATTGCCAGGTACTTCCATGTGTATCACAACTAGGTATTGATCTGTGATGAGTGTGTGGGAGGTGGGGGAAGAGGTGGGGGAGCAGGAGTTGGTATTGTGCAAAGAGGAGGTGGAGGACTGTCAGGAGCAGTGATAATACGAGGTGAAGGATTTCTCAAACGAACTCCTTGCAGAAAAGTCGCAAGATGATGGTAATATCCAGGGCAGGCCCAAGTTTCATTGTGGGTGCCACGTTCAAAAGTAAGTAGCTGTTTGTGATGAGACCCGCAAAGTCTATGCAACTCTGCCATCATGCGAGGTGGAACCAAAGTGTCAGACAATCCTGAGACGAATAATGCAGGTGTTGTCATGTGGCAAACTTTGGTACTCGAAAGAAACTGAAAAATACACAAGAATTAAAAAAGGCAAGTATGCATTTTATTATTTAGTTACAATTAAAACACTAATAATGGACTGCTTCAAATCGAATAGTAACAATCACTGCAATCAAAGCACACCACATTATGTACTTAAAGAAGGGCCTAGAGTTGATAAAATGTGTTGCTCGATCGTATCTAACTTTAACAATAAAGCTAAATTCAGTTAATAATCATGTATTCCCAGATTTATAGGACAGAACCTATTCTCATCCTCTTCATGAATCATCATTAAATCACATGTGTACATATGACACATGTGCACATATTCTGCATGAATTAAATACAATCTTTTGCCAAAAATCTACAACTTCTTAACTGAACATTTTTGAATCTTACAAATATCTGAAATGTTTTTTAATATCTGAGGATTAATAATATGGTTACAATAAAAATACATTAAACATATACTTTTGCCTATTAATGTGTGTATATATTTAAACACAAAATTATGACAATGATACTTAAGTACTAAGAAATAAAATTACACCATCTATTATTTTGTTGGCAACAATTGGCTGAACTGTTCTTTAGTAATAGTTAGAAGCAGATGTTTCTTTATTTTTATTAAAAAAGTAGTTTCACACCTTTCTAAACAATTGCAGGATACATACACATGTGTACCAGAAACGTTTTCCCAGCATCTGTACCAAGAGAGAGTTTAGCAACACACGTCACCCATATTTTTAATGATTATTTTGATTATCTCAATATTTATACCAAAAATTCACGAATCCTATAAAACCCCTTACTAATTAGTCACATACAAAATAAAAAGGAAGTCAATTAGCAAAGGAGACAACGGAAATTAAAGTGAGAGCAAGTGTAATACATTTTTTTTTTATAATGCCAAGTTATTTTCAAAGACAAATTACTGATAGAGGTAGTGAAATTATTTGTAAGGCAGATTTTCTGAGATTTCCAGTGATTTTGAGAACAAAAGCTGAGACGGTCCTTCAATTTCATCTGGTCAGTAAATACAGTTTTACTCCCTCAAACACCATAAGTAATATTTATTATTCTGTCTAGTACAGCAAATAAAATATCAGGTGGTGGCGTGTTCAAAAACCAGGTAACAAAATTTCACAAAAACGAATACAATGTGTCTTTTAAATAACTTTCTACAAAATCTATAACCTTAGTAACCTTGTTTTCCACAAAATGTATAAACAACCTCTGGCTAACCTGGTATTCTTCAACCTGATTTTCAAATAATCATTATCCATTTTATCGTGTCAGTAATTCGATTCCTTCACTGAAAGTACTACGGATGAAACCTACATCTGTAACAGATTTGCTTTTGCATATAGAAAATTTTACTTCATTTAACCTGGATTCAAAATTTCTATTCTTCACTAAATCATTTGTCATTCCTTTTTTACAATCTTTACTTTTAGTATACCTGGCCTTTTGCATACCTTGTTTCAATCTAACTTCTAAATTAACTATTAAAACTAATTCATGAAAACAATTTTTTTTGTCATTCTTGCCTCTGACAAGTACGCTTATAAATGGCACAAGTAATATAATCTTTAAAACTTGCAATTCTTCAAAAATTACAAATATAAATCTCTTGCAGTTCTTTGGCTGAAGAGTTAGAAAGATACAATTTGCCAATTTGCAATATTTGAAGATGAGGGTTACTTCTCTATTACTGATAAAATGAGAAAGTATGTCTTGCTGAAGAACTGAACCACTAGTTTATTAATGAAATCTGTTCAAAATTAGATATTTAAATACAGACAATTAAAAAAATATTAATTATACTAATTAACAAAACAAGGGGATAAAGACGAGTATAATTGCATAAGTGGTAGGTTCAAGAAAACAAGCGAGTGTTCTTATTTAGCATGAATGCAATTTTACCACTTCTTTCACATGTTACATACAATATTTTTTGGGTTCTCATTAGAGAATAATTTAAATTTTCAGAAATCAAACCCAAATTTGGTTGTTAAGTTTATCAGAGGTAACCCAAGGACTGTCAATGCGAAAGAAAAATTCTATGCACTAACGTATTGTCTCTAATGCCCAAGTTCAATCAATTTTTGGAGGAAGTTAACACTGTACAACCAGATACAATAATCTGTGAGTCTTGGCTGAATTCAAACATCCCAGAGAGTCTGATACCTATCCCTAGTTTTTCCTTCTGGAAAAATCATAATGACAAAACAAATAGATGAGGTTCTAATCTACATCAAACAAAGAATGGGGTTGACCTCAGTGAGAGTGATGACAATGCTCATATTCGAAGAACATGACATAGAAACATTACAGCCAAGGGCAAGGATCAAAATTTTTCATTGGAGGAATCTACAGGCCACCTTCACCCGATACAGATCAAGACAACAGGACATCAGACTCTTCACATTGTTGATGATGATGACGATGGTGATGATGATGATGATGATGATGATGATGATGATGATGATGATTAAGGTTTAAGGGCGCTTCAACAGCTAAGGTCATTAGCGTCTGTGTCAATTTTTTAAAGAGCAATACACACTGTAGCAGTGCCAGACTCCATTTAAAATCTCCAATTATAAGCCAAATAATTGGCATAATATTCTTCTCTCAGATAACACTGTAAATGTCAGACTCTCATAAGAAGCTAAAAAGCTTGCAGAGAGAAGATTCGTCATTACCTAGTACCTGTGCTAGAGAGCTAGCAAGATGAAGCCTTCGCCGGCTGTCTCTTCCCTTAGAAAAGTGTAGGAGAACATGCTCCACTGTAAGATCCATATCACAACTATCGCAAGTAGAGGTTTAGTCTCCATGGAGAAGATGTCCGTGGGAGAAACGAGTGACCGATCCGAAGGCGTGTCAGGATTATCTCTTCGCGTCTTGACCCACGAGATGAAAAGAACCAAGGCTTTATGGAATCCTTACCAGACTCTTGGAACAAATTCTGGAACAAAGTTTGTTCCAACAAAACCAGTTTAGCTGCTTCACAAGGGCTAGTCCAACCCCTGTGAAGTGTCCCTAACCCTACCCCAATCCTAATTCCTTCCCAATTCTGACCAATGGGTGGTGACGCAAATGCATATAGTAGGAGGTGCGTACGTGAAGACACCACCTGGCAGTCCTCTTGACAACTGACTGGGACAAGATGTGACAGATATGACAATGTAAAATAATTAATGGAGGATTACTCCTGTTCCATTGTTAATGAAGAATTACTCTAAGCACAAAGTGCTTAACACCCTCCAAGAGGCTTGGAGACATGTAGCGTCAATTGAAGACGCAAACAAATTGAAAGAAAAAAAAGTCTGGGGAAGATTTGAAAGAAAAAAAAGTCTGGGGAAGATTTGAAAGAAAAAAAAAGTCTGGGGAAGATTTGAAAGAAAAAAAAGTTTGGGGAAAATGTGAACTAGTTATAATCATGGGGGATTATTATTTTTCTTCTACTACCTGGACTAAAACATCAAGTCACCCTGAAGACTGAACTGGAACTAGAATTTCTTCAACATTGTGTTAACTTTAATCTTAGCGAAGAAATTAACCCACAAGGCATAGAGGGAGACAAACATCTACAATTCTAGATAGTACACTCCCCCCAGTCCGAGTCCAAATATTGAACAGAGTGATCATCTAGGAATTGTTACAACTTTACAAGCAGTAATCAAGGAGAGAGGCCCTCCTGAAAATGTTAATAAAAAAAACTCATGTGGAGCAAACTTTGCAACAAAAACAAAACACTGAGAGTTGACAACTTCAAAATACTAAGAAGGTGAAAGAAATGAAGACAAAGAAAACTACAATGAATTCTGCAACATCTCAAAAACTACTGGTCAATAATTCACAAAAAGAAAAAAAAAAGAAAAAGAAGAAGAAGACGAAGAAGAAGACGAAGAAGAAGTAGAAGTAGAAGAAGTAGAAGTAGAAGAAGTAGAATAAGAAGAAGTAGAATAAGAAGAAGTAGAAGAAGTAGAATAAGAAGAAGTAGAAGTAGAAGTAGAATAAGAAGAAGTAGAAGTAGAAGTAGAATAAGAAGAAGTAGAAGTAGAATAAGAAGAAGTAGAAGTAGAATAAGAAGAAGTAGAATAAGAAGAAGTAGAAGTAGAATAAGAAGAAGTAGAATAAGAAGAAGTAGAATAAGAAGAAGTAGAAGTAGAATAAGAAGAAGTAGAAGTAGAATAAGAAGAAATAGAAGTAGAATAAGAAGAAGTACAATAAGAAGAAGTAGAATAAGAAGAAGAAGTGGAAGAAGAAGTGGAAGAAGAAGTAGAAGAAGTAGAAGAAGAAATTTTTTGACAAACTATGGATCAATCATAAAATTAAGAAGCAAATCAGAACCAAAAGCTTGTACAAGAATGGTACAAATTTGGAAAGTCTAGACGTACATTATAAAGAATGTAGAATAATCTGTGACATGCTCATGTCAGACATATGAACAAAAAGAGAAGGTTATGAATAGCAAGTTCTGCAGAGTGGAGCTAAAAGATTTTACTTTTATATTCAGAAACAAACTACTTGTAAACCGGGTCCACCTAGGACCATCCCAAGTAAAGGGCTCATAATATCCTAGGAAATTGCAGAACATTTTGCAGACTACTATAAAGAGGTATACACAGTTGTACCTACAGACCATTTACTGAACACTGGAATCAGATATGCTGAAGCAATCAATAATATTGAATTCACAAATATTTAAACAGCTCAAACTCTTCTTGGACTGAATTGGCTGGTCTCAATAGAATCCCAACAATGTATTTGAAAAAACAGTGCAAACCAACTTGCACCATTGCTTTACAAAATTTTCTAAGTCACTTGACACAATGAAACTACCTTCCACATGGAAAACAGCTGAGGTTACGCCTATCTTCTAAGATGATAAACAACTAGAAGAGAATTACAGACTGATGAGCTTCATTATCACCATGGGGAAAAGTAATGGAAACAATAATAGTTCACAGACTCCGAGACCATGCACAAAGTAACAATCTGATCCCCAAAGAACA